AGCAGCCTGAGAGAGAGAGGAGCTTCTCTGTCCTGAACCAGCCCTTACAGAGAGAGGAGCAGCCTGAGAGAGAGAGGAGCTTCTCTGTCCTGAACAGCCCTTACGGTGGCTCTGTGGCTCAGGATCTGCACCTGGGCTGGAAGGGTTTGCCGGTTCAAATCCCGCGGCCGGCAGAGGAATCCTACTCTGTTGGGCCCCTGAGCGAGGCCCTGAACTCCAGCTTCTCCGGGGGCATTGTACAATGGTTCACAACCCCTCTAAGTCTGGCATGTACTGGCTTTGGGCTGACACAATTGTCTGGTGTTTTGTCGTCTTTTGTTTTCATTTGGAGGTCAAGCAAAAGCCCACAAACTGACAATTGTTAATATGGGGGTTTTCTCCAACCCTGTGTAAGCAAAAAGCAGCATTTCAGTTTGACCGGAAAAAAAGCAGTCAGTCTCAATATGAGAAATGGGATTTGAATACTCACCGGGGCTCCAATACTCTGGTCTGCTTGTAAACTAACCTGAAAGAAGGAAGACGAGGTGTTTTCATTTCAGATTTATAGGAAGCACTTTGTGGTTTGGCACCTCTTGGGCAATCCTGACATTAATCAATCCGATTGATTACGCTTTACGTCCAGTCACGCTTTTCTGAGACTGGGAACAACATTTAGCCTGGTAGGACATTTAGCCTGGTTTTTACGTCTCATCCGAAGGACGGCGTCTGTTTACAGTCCAGTGTCCCCCGTCACTATACTGGGGCATCAGGACCCACACGGACCGCAGGGTGAGAGCGCCCCCTGCTGGCCCCCACTCACACCTCTTCCAGCAGTAGCCTTAGGTCTCCCCTCCAGGTACTGACCAGGCTCACACCTGCTGAGCTCCAGTGGGTTACCAGCTGTGAGTTGCAGAGTGATGGGGCTGCATCGTTCTCGAGTTCTGTATCGTAAAGGCATGGGGGAAGACTCTGATCACAAAGGGATTGTAATCTGGCGGGTGTTAGATGACCGGGGGAAGGGTCACTTATAACCAGTATTTCCGGAACGCAACACCGAATGTACTCGATATAGACCTGAGCAAGATGGCCGCCGAGGAGAACCAGCTGACCCGCTGTTGGAAAAAGGCCTATCCAGCGAAACAGTGAGACACAGGTGAGCTAGGCCAAGGAAGCAAGTTATAAATGACCCTTCTCCTGGTCCTCTGACACAGGACATTTGCGAGCTTTCAAGCTGTTGACGGGCCAGATCCATTTCTAGACGTCTCTTTTCCGTTCAAAACCTCCACCTACGGTCATTTCACGTTGTGGCTCAACGTGCTGGCTGTTTCCCAGAATACCTGGGTTGGGACGCCATGGACTGTGGTTCCTGATGCTAGTTTGTCTGCAGACGGGAAGGAAGACTCACCCTTCCGGACTGGTGATTATCTTGGGAATGGCATCGCAGTGTCTTCTGTCAAAGCCAGAAAGGAGGTAGTTAGCGGAAGAGACAGGATGCCTTCGTGCGACGTTTAACTACGTTCGTTCAGAGACGGCATCAAGGGTCAAATTCAGTTCCTGGAGTAACTACAGTGTGACTGTTAGTTTTGTTATTATTATATCGCAGAGGTGGTTTGTGTAGCTCCGTGGCTGTCGGTTCAAGTCCAGGGGTGCTGTCTGTGTGGAGTTTGCATGTTCCCCTTGTGCTGGCATGGGTTTCCCCTCACAGTCCAGAGACATGCTGATGATTAAATTGGCTTAAAGTGTCCTGTGATGGACTGGTGTCCTGTCCAGGGTGTGTGAGTGTGTGTGTGTCCTGTGACAGACTTGTGTGCTGTCCAGGGTGTGTGAGTGTGTGTGTGTGTGTCCTGTGATGGAGTGGTGAGCGTTCTGGCGCACTATGGCTGCTGTTTCTGGACACTCCACTCGATAGCCCTTTACAGGGTAATCCCACTACCGCCACCAATGTGCAACATCCGCCTGGATGATGCGACGGCAGCCGTAGGGCGCCAGAACGCTCCCCACACACCAGCTCTCAGTGGGGAGGAGAGCAGAGGGATGAAGCCAGTTCAGAGAGGGGGATTATTAGGAGGCCATGATGAGTAAGGGGCCAATGGGAAATTTGGCCAGGACGCCGGGGTTAC